ATTCAGGACAATGAAGATCCTTTTGAAGGGTCTGTTTATACAGTTAAAGGAAGTTCAGAGAAAGCTCTTGTATTTTGGGGGGCTCAGAAAACAATACTCCAAAATGAAGGCCTGGGAAGCAGCGTCAGAAGCAAAAGTTTTTTTCTAAACCTTCTTCCTTTATCTGGCCTCTTGTTCTCCACTGAGGCTAGCCCTAGAAATTAGAATCTCTTTTTCCCAGATAGAAACCAGAACCCCTTTTTCCCAAAGCCAGCCATAAAACTTAAACATACTACAAAACTTTCCCTCTATCTTTTTATGTAAAAACTAGCCATAAGAAAAAAAGTACCTGACCTACCTGTTTGATTAAAGGTCATATGACCCTCATTTCAGAGGGAGTCCTGCCCCACACCCAGAAGGAAGGAATGCCTGCTCACAGAGGCCAAGAAGAATATTCTTCTAATATTTCTTCTAATAGGTCTTTGCTGAATTTTCCCATGCAATCTATTTTGGGGTTTTCATTCTGAAGGATCCTCTGTCACATAAAATTATAATCAAAAAATTTGTATGCCTTTTTTCCTGTTAGTTTGCTGAAATGTTACTGGACAGAGAGGGTCAAGCAGCCTGTCACTGTCAGCCAACATGCAGAAACGGGGATAAGTCCACCAAACTTTGTCAGAAGGCTGGGATTCTGGAGAACACTGAGAGTAGGCTCTCCAAGACAGTTCTGTTCTTCCATTTTCAAAATTACAGTTTTATGGCTCGGCGACTAGGCCGCCAGCAACATGTGCTGGAGCTGGCAGGTTAAACGTAACCTTGGCCTGCCAAACAACAACAACTACAACTGAAAAATAGCCAGGTATTGTGGCAGGGGCACCTGTAGTCCCAGCTACATGGGAGGCTGAGGCAAGAGAATCACTTAAGCCCAAGAGTTCAAGGTTGCTGTGAGCTTTGATGCCACAGCACCTACTGAGGGAGACATAGACTCTGTCATAAAATAAAATAACATAAAATAAAGTATATTATAGTTTTATACATTTGAGTTCAAAGTAAAGACCATGTTAGCCCTTATCTTAAACAATAATCTGCTGAATTCATGATCCATAGTAAATAATGATCAGTATAACTCAGGATCCAAAATAACATATCAATTCAAAAGTTAATCTCCCAAATCAATCCACATAAACTACTCAAGATAGGCCCTTTAGGGTGAGAGCTAAATCTACAAAACAGTAAGAATGGGAGAGGGTGGTGGTGGGGGTTGTGGGTGGTGGTGGTGGTGAAGGTCAGGCAGAACATTAAGGGACCAGACCAGCTGTGTCATGTCTGCCCTTGCCTGGCAGACTTCATCTTATTCTTACTACATGTACTTTCATTTTCATCAGTGATTTTCAGCAAATCTTCAGAGGGTAAAGGGGACATGTTTCTCTTGCGCCCTACACATTTTTGCTTTTTCTCAAATGCCTTCAGTTTAAAGTCCAAAGCAGCACATTTGGGGGTAGCATTTTCTGAACTCCTTAAGTTTCTAAAAATAATGGGGCTGTTCCTTTCCTTGCCTTTTCCTTCTTCCTTCAGAATGAAATGCAAACATGGTAGCTAGAGCTGGAACAGGCATCTTAAGACTAGAAGGTGGAAGAAGTATATTAATAATGATAGAATTACTATGTCATGGAAAACTGCCTTAATACAATGGTAACCTCCAGATATATTACCAAGGATGCCATTCTAGCTGTCATGGACAGCAAGGCTCACAGACCAGTTTAAGTTTCCTAAGTTTCATGGCTTACTTTTTTTTTTTAATTGAATCAATTTTAAACATATATTAAGAAACAAGGGGAAAGAAATTTGGCATTTTAACACATTTCAGCTAGGTTGCAAATGAGACAGTAACATTACCTGAATCTTTGGCGATACATGGCATATGTGAGAGCTCCCTTCCCACATATTTTCTCCACTGAGAGTGTGGTTTTGAGGACCATAAGTTGTTCTGTTCAGCAGGGGGAAATTATGTGGAGCAACATATGCTTTCCCTATTAAGATACTGGGACAAGTGTATAGCCACTCATATTGCTCACCAATAACATAGTGAGCAGCCATGCCCTTTCTATGTATGTTGTCTGCAAAGGGGAAATGGGCCAAAACTGGTGTTAACAATGGGTGATTAATTAAAACCCTACAAATATAGGTTGTGTTATAAATATTTGGTGTTTCATAAATATTTGACACTTCTCGATTCCTTTGTCTTTTCTTATCTCTGCAGCTCACAGAAGGCCTACTGACTTTATGTCTATAATGTCTCACATGCTACTATACTAAATGCAGCTTTAGAATTTTGTCTATATCTCATAAACTTCTTGCTTACTTAATACTTCTTGTAAGTTTCTTCTTATGAATTACCTACCTAGCACTTATGAATTTCATATTTGTTGTGTTGGTCCTCCATAGCAGAATTTAAATGCAGAGCATTTTTGAGAATATTTCAAATAATAGAACACACATTATACGTACAAGGAGATGAATTTTCTAAGGATATCACTTACTGGAGCTACTATCCCAGGCCTGAACTGTATTAGCTTTGTACGGAAGAGAAGTAAGCTTTTATTTTAATGAAGTAGTATCTATTTTAAGTTGTCTGTCACTTCCAGGGGTATCAGATACTAGCTCATACAGGTGTGCATTAAAAAAAAAAAAACTTTAATTGAAAGAATTTTTAACATGAATAAGGGATACAACTTCCTATCATTATAATATCACTTTCTACATTTCATTAAGAATGTATGCACATTTTAGTAAGGTACTATATAAGACTCCTTGGAAATCCTTGTGAAAAAATGATGATATGGCCAGATGAAAATATGTGTATGGTCCTTATTTTCAACTGTGTTTCCATCAATAGATAGACTTGAATTCTGTGCTGTGTCCCTTTTTCTCTCCTCTTTTCTCTTTCATACCCTCCCTCCAACCCTAGCTGCTGCACTAAAAAAGGCAAGAATCATCCTGGTTTTAAAGTTTCAGTTGTTGGTTCCTTTTCTCTTGTCATTTGTCTTGCTGCACCCTACCTCAATTGCCTTCAGGTAAACTTGAAAACTTTCAAGATTGTGTTAACGTTCAGCAATTTAAGTTTAGCCTCTTCAAAGGCCAGTTTAAAGAAAAAGAAAAAGCCACCTTCAGACTGATGCCTCCCCCTTGTGCCAGTTTGTGATATTGTTTAAATATACAGATTTAAGATAAGAACAGAGAGTTTCTTTCCTTCTCACTGCTCTTCTCAGACTTTTCTACTACATGTAACTTAATAGACTCAATAAAGTAATGAATAAACTCAACAGCACTAGTCCATCCACCTATAATTTATTTCACTTATAGCTCAGATGTTTTTAAGACATACTCTAGTAGATTGGCTGATCTACTAAAGACAATGTTTTCAGCTAAGGGTCAAAGTACGGCTGTAGAGTTCTATTACATTTTTAAAGTGAATTTTTAATAAAATTCATAGCAAACTTCAGTTTTTATCTAGATTGTCCACTAATCTCTTCTGGCCTGCATTTCACCCAAACTATCTGTTCGATAAAACAGCCAGAGCACCAGAATTACCTGGAGAAATGGGTAATTAGCTTTTCTGTAGGATACAGCAGGTTTCAGAAACTTGGAGTGGTTCTGAAAAGAGCCTTTGGATTTGGTATGTGCTTAAAACCACGTTGACTTAGAGCTCGTGTACTTGGTGACAGCCTTGGTGCCCTCTGACACAACCAGCTCTCTGAGCAGCAGCAGACGCACCGGCAGTCTGGATCTCCCTGGCGGTGATTGTCAAGCCCCTCACTCTAATGCGCCCGACGAGACGCGTCACCCGCGATGCGCTAGAAGATGCCTTTGACAAGCGAGTTCATGACGCCCAAGGCCCTGGACGAGATACTGGATGTCTGGGTGGACCCGCTTCCGCATCTTGTACACGTACACGGAGTAGCTCTCCTCGCAAGCTGTGCTTCCGCTTTTTTTTGTGCCTTAGTAACAGCCGTCTCGGAGCCCTTCTCAGGGGCAGGAGCGGACTTTGCCAGCTAAGGCATGATTCCACGATTCGCCAACAAAGACCCCAAAGTAAACGTTTAACGGCAGAACTTGCCTCGATTTGGAGGTCTCCTTTGCAAAAGCTTTATGCAAATGAGGTGAATTCAAATCTACTTTCTGATTGGCTATTTATGCGGAACTTACCCAAACTCTTTTATGCGCCATTAAGAAAAAAAAAGTAGTTTAAAAAAATAGTTGAAAAAGTTAATGTCCTTCCTGCCAGTAATACCTAGTTGAGTCGTACCTCCCTACGTTCAGACTAAAACCTTGTCAAAATATTTATATAAATTTCAGTCTCTAGTTTCATACCAAGTCGCAGTTTCCTGTTTTACAATTATCTGTGAAGAATTCTAGACAGAAGAAATAGAAATTAGCTGAAGATCTAAGTGTTTCGAGAGTTTTTGGCATTATTGTAAAATCTGGTCAAAGTCGGAAATATTCTTAATTTATGTAAAGATTTAATATTTTTCAGGACTCAAAGGAAGGACATATTTCAACTACAGAAAGATTTTAATGTACACTAGAAACAGTGTTTGGGAATGATGTCAGTGCTGAACTAAAACATTTTTTCAAAGTAAGAAATTTTAATAAAATACAAAGGGCGAAACCGGGCTGGACCAATGATGTTCAAACGCGGACTTTTTGAAATCGATCAGGAACTGCGGTTCATTTCTTTATCCTGCCAAACTCAGTTCCAAACAAGTGGATTAAGTAAAGTCAGTTAAGGTGCATAATACATGTAGATATGTAATAAAAAGGAGAAAACTAGAAAGGAAAAAAATGAGCATATTTCAGCAAGCTAAGGTTTTGTAAACTGAAAGCTGGTAGCCAATCACTGGACTACTAAGTAACTTAGTTCAGGGCGCGGAATTTGAAAATTTGGACCAATCAGAAGAACTTTGCCTTTATAAATAGGAGCGAGACTTGCAGTTTGTTCATTAGGGACCTTTTCTGGAGGTACTTGTCATGGCTCGTACGAAGCAGACTGCTCGTAAGTCCACTGGTGGCAAAGCGCCGCGCAAACAGTTAGCCACTAAGGCGGCCCGCAAAAGTGCTCCGGCTACCGGTGGCGTGAAGAAGCCCCACCGCTACCGGCCGGGCACTGTGGCGCTGCGTGAGATTCGCCGCTACCAGAAATCGACTGAGTTGCTTATTCGTAAGTTGCCTTTCCAACGTCTGGTGCGTGAGATAGCGCAGGACTTCAAGACCGACCTGCGCTTCCAGAGCTCCGCTGTGATGGCCTTGCAGGAGGCGTGCGAAGCTTACCTAGTGGGGCTTTTTGAGGATACGAATCTGTGTGCTATTCACGCCAAGCGCGTCACTATTATGCCCAAAGACATCCAGCTCGCGCGTCGCATTCGTGGGGAGCGGGCGTAGTCTTTTCCCCGAGTGCCCTACTTTGAAATCCAAAGGCTCTTTTCAGAGCCACCTACAGTTCCAACTTAAAAGTGCTGTATCGCTTAGGAAGATGTAAAACGCGCCGTAGGCAAGACGAGAACCGGTACTTAGCTGCCGACTCCGATTCTGGTTTCAGTCTCTCAGCCATTTTTCACAGGCCGCGTGTGTCCTCTAGGCGGCGAATGACCTATGGGCCAAATAAAAAGCTGGGGAAAATTAAGCATGAAGATAAACCAATGGTGCAATTGAGAGGTTCTTTATGAAGGGGCTGTCTGCAGAGAGGAGATGGAAGTAGGACAGCCTGATACTAGTAAGCATTGGGTAATCCCCTTTTCTGTCTCCTTTATCAGAAATTTGCCAGGGGAAGAACATGAGAATAGACCATTTCGGGGAATGCTGGCAAATGTCGGGGTGG